CTTCGATGGTCGCGGAAAAGTGGCAGCTCTTGATATCCGGGAAATCCTTTCTTTCCTTTGCCCATTGCTTCTGTTGGACCGCGTTGTCATGTAAATTGTGCATGTCCATTAAAGTGGTAATTCCAAATCGAAATGCTTGTTCCGAGAGCCTAGATTCTCGATACGGATGACTGTGCGCATCGATCAGGCCTGGGAGTAAGGTGTGGCCCGGTTTTGAAAAGATTGGAACGCCAGGCTTTTCGATGTCTTGTTGAACTTGCTTGATGATGCCATCTTCGACGAGGACGCTGGCATCCTCGTGTATATTCTCGCCGTCAAACAGGCGCACATTTTTTATGATGAAGGAGGTCATGATCCAGATCGTCACCAGGGATATTTTGGGTCTTCGAGTACTGGAATTACTTCCTGGACCTAAACCTATGTTGTGCTGCAATTGTCAACGATTCGAGACATTCTTTGGTGTATAGACTGTTGTTGCTACTGTCGAGAGGGAGGTCTACCACGAAACGGAGTGTTGCCCACCTGTCGATACCCTTCATAACGTGCAACCGAAATTCTCGGACCGGCCTTGGTACCTCTATTCCGAAGTTTGGCTAATCTACAAATCCGAACCCGGCTCCACTTGGGCAAGCCTTCGAACCCGACAATCGATGAGCAGTTCATCCGAATCAACATCAAGACAACTTTGTTCCTGTAGAAGAAGTTGCTGCTTTGCGATAGAACAACCTTGGAAGTCATAAATCACATTGAATCAAACATGGGATCAATCAGCGACAAGGACAGCACAAGGCATAGCGTCGAAGTACAAAGGTCTCCAAGACCGAGTCCCATTAGTCTCGCCCATATCGTTCTCCGCTCCACGCCAACCAGCTATCGCAAAATGGTCACATTCTACCAGGAGTTGCTCAACGGCGAGATCATCCTGGAAGAGAAGACGTTCGCGTTCCTCCGCTACGATTACGAGCATCACCGCGTCGGCATCCTCATGACACCCGAGACCCAAGCCAAAGACGGCTCCGACGTTGCTGGTCTCGAGCACGTTTCTTTCACTTTTGCAACTTTGACGGCCATGGCGAGGGTGTACCAGCATCTCAAAAGCCTGGGCCATGAACCGTATTGGGCAGTCAACCACGGGATGACGAGCAGCATGTACTACCGCGATCCCGAGCGCAACAAGGTCGAGATCCAGATTGAAAATTTTGACACGCCAGAAGAAGCGGATGCGTTTGTCAGGGGGCCCCTGTTCAAGGAGAACCCCATCGGGACGGATATTGATCCACCGGCGTGGGCAGAGAGGATTTTGAGCAAGATGACCCCGGATGGGGAGGAGGGGCTTTCGGAGGAGGAAATCAGGGATATCAAGGCGAGAAAAGAGATTGGGCCGAGACATGAGATCCCTTGGGTTGCACTTGCACCGTGATTAGCTCTGCGGACGGGAAATGAATACTTCAAGTTTATCACTCAACTTATTTTCAGCGGCGAGGTATTCGAAGATAGAAAGAGTGAATCGTGACGAGACCATACAAGCGCATTCATTCTAGAAAAAGCCTCTGCTTCATGTTTGATGGTCGTATTGCGAATACCCAGTCTTTCTACGGGATGGGATTCAGCTTCTCGTCTCATTCAGCAGCAACTACCATTTTGTTCTCAATCGCACCAATGCCCTCGATCTCGATTTTGACCACATCTCCATCCTTGAGCCAATTCCGAGGCTGCAAAAAGGCAGCCACGCCGCTAAAGCATAAATTAGTAATGCGCGCATCTTCAGACGCGGAGGGCGCTTACTTGGGTGTGCCAGTCATGATCACAGTCCCTTTCCTAAGCGTCATCCCCTGGCTCAGATGCTCGATCAGTCTCGCGATGCCGAAGATCAAATCGTCCGTCTTGCAATCCTGTCTCAGCTCGCCATTGACCCAGGTCTTCAACTTCAAACTTTCAGGCTTGGGGATCGCCGTCTGCGAGGCAATAACCGGACCGATAGGACCGAAGTTGTCAAAGGATTTGGCATAGCCGTGCTGGGAGCCCGACATGTTAGGCCACTGCCAATATCGGGCAGACACGTCATTGCCGACGGTGTACCCTAGGACGTAGTCGAACGGGTCTTCACCAGATTTGAGGTTCTTCACGTCTTTGCCGATGACCACGGACAGTTCGCCTTCGTAGTCTAGTTCCTTTGCGATAGCGTCGACGTGGATGTCCTGAAAAGGGCCAGCAAGGGTGTCTAAGTTGTGTTAGATTTCGGTGCAAGCAAGTCAATCCTTCTAAGAGAAAAGGAATAGTATTACCCGCAAATTTGGTAAACACCACCGGGTACTCGGGGATGGGCAGCTGAACACTGCTTGTTAGTTTTGGTGAGGATCATTCGAAATTATGGGCTCTACCTTGGCTTCCTCCGCATGAATTTTATAGTTTAGTCCAATTCCAATGATAATTGGCACTGAAGTCACAGGGCAAAGAACCTATAGTATGTCAGCTGGTCATTGATGTCTTTGATGGAGGTCGTTTTACTTTTGCGATCTCAACATTGTTGCCCGTCAAGGCAAACTCGCCGTCAAAGGCATCAGAGATGTCGTATGTAGGAACGACCTGGCCTACAAGCTCTTTCTGCCACTCTGTTCCAGCTTCGCCGTAGTGGATATTGCCGCTTGGGTCTTCAAAACGGACAAGTCGAGAGAATTTGGCCATGTGTATAGTGGGCAACAATTTGGTGGACGAGATGAGACTGGATTCGAAACTGTAAATCAGACGCGTTCTTACAAGTATAGCCTGCCATCTTTCTTTGCCCGAGAGTAACCGTGATCTCAAAACACTCTTTTGACAAGCTTGGGATGGTACTCGCCTCGGATGTGTCTGGTCCGAGCTGTTCTCGCCGCGAATATGGCCACCAATGGCTTCGGCCCGGACTCCGGTAATCTAGAAGCACTTCGGGTTTCCCTTCCCTTTCGACGTGTCCGAAAGATGTGATCATACCGATATGAGAGAGTAGTTGTCCTCTGCCTAGTCACATGCAGATGGCTTCGCGAGATTGATGTTGGCGTGCCAAAGATTCCAAAGTATATACAGGTTGCGATTGCGCCAAGCGGACACGACGTGCTGAAGACCGCTTGTATCGAAGAACAGATCAGTCCGTTTCTGTAGTTTGTACAATGGGTTCTTGTGACGAGTTCCGTGTGCTCATCATTGGGGGCGGCACTTGCGGACTAGCTATTGCACAAGGGTTGGCAAAAGTATGTGTTGCTTTCGATGTCGAAATTGGGAGCTTCGAGAAGATCGAAAAGAGCTGAATACTGACAGTGAGACTTCAGGAAAACATCTCTTACACAATCTTCGAGCGGGACGCTGCGGATGATTACTGGAATAAAACACGAGACTGGGGTAAGGACAACTCCGAGGTCTTCAGAGCAGGCTTAACACCATAGAAACAGGCATGCTATTGCACTGGGGAAAGGACTTCCTGATGAGAATGCTTCCGGAAGACTTGAAAGAGACATTTAAAGATACCCTTGTTGATCCTGCGTATGACGGAACAGAGGGGGTTCCTATCCCGCACGTACATGGGGGGACCGGACAGGTAATGGCTAGAATAGCAATGCCAGGAATGGTTCGCGTGTCGAGGAAAAAACTGCGTGCTTTTTTGACGTCAAAGCGAGATCTCAACATATCGGTGAATTCTGCAAGCTCAAAGAGAATGGTGATTTTGGCTGATGGTATGAAACAGTTCGAAAAGAAACTCGTCTCTATAGAATCGACAGGCGCAACCGTGACGGCAGTATTCGATGACGGCTCCAGAGAAAAAGGCAGCTTCATCGTAGGTTGCGATGGCTCAAGGTCGAAGGTTCGGGAATATCTGGTTGGGCCAGAAGCCGCAAAGCCATATGATACAGGCATGACTATCATCAACCATGTTGCTTCTGGTTTCACATCAGAGTCGGCTCGTCTCCTCCGAAAATATCATCCAATTGGAACGTGCTTTTATGATCCAGAAGTGTCCGGTATCTTTTTGTTGACAAGTGTGTCTCCGGTTCCAGATTCGCGACGATGCACTGACGACAACAGTACTTGACGGCTCCAGTGCTGAAAAGCCGGAAATGTGGAGTTTCCAAATTCACCATGCGTGGTGGGGAGCTCCGAACGCGGCTGACTTGAAAGACCCAAGAGTCCGACTAAGATTCTTCAAGGAAAGAAGTTCCAGGATCTGTGAGCCGTTTTCAACTGCGGCTGCTGCTCTTCCAGATGATACTGTGCTACCTGCAGATCCTGGTCAACAATGGTCTCCGATCCTCTGGGACAATCATAATGGAACTGTCACAATTGCAGGAGATGCCGCCCATTCAATGCTTCCCAGTGAGTTCGAAGCTCGGCGTGGGACGATGAGGTAAGCTGACGCCATACAGACCGGGGACAGGGCTTGAATAATGCAATGCAGGATGCTGCGGAAATTGTGGATGCGGTCAAGTTGGCCGTTTCTGGAACATCTCCACTGGCAGATGCAGTGACTGCATATGAGGATAGGATGCGACCAAGGGGCGCCAGAGATGTTGCGTTATCATTGGAAACTGCATCCAAGCTCTATGTCTCGGAACTTCGAGAGAGTCCCATGTTCAAAGTGGGCTTGCAAAAAATGGACGCAGATGGAGTAAAGGTGGTCGCAGTTCCAAATGCAGTCCAGCTTATGGATTGAGTGGATGTGTCTGCTCCGTGATTTGAGAATGAACATAAAGCCAACAGGCATCTAGACTCCGGGACTGTAATGTTGTTATTTGGCCGTCTTTGTCGGCACCTTGTTTTCTTTCTGCTGTAGCCTCGGGACGTTGGACACGTCCAGCCACACCATTTTTGAGCTGAGAAGTAGTAGACAACGCATTCTTGGTGTCGCAGTTATTAGGGTTGCAGATATTGAGATTGACTTCTTAGATTTGGTTGTCACGTGGAAGACTCAGATTGATGTCCGCATGACAAATGCCAACTCGAACTCTCGTCTTCTGTGGAATCCAACTGTGTTACCCAAGCGCAACACTTCGAATTTGAGAACGAGAGACTCCTCGATATGGGGGTAGGTTTGCTGGTCGGCTGGCGTGAGTGTCCATTATCTGACGTCCAAATGTTGCAATGTCCCGTGTGAAAGGGAAGCTCAGTTTGGAACCAGTGATGAAGTCCATCTGTCCAAAATAGCCCGCTGCCACATCTAGCAATGCGAGATCTGTCCGAACGGACTCCAGCCTCGGAGACTGGATGACGTATATGAACAAGTTTATAAAAGCGTGCATGGGATAGTGCAACATAAATCTGTATCGCCATGAGTACAGAGTCGCCGTGTTAGTGAGCTAGATTTGTCTTACGCGTGTGTATTTGCTCCATTTATTTCGAAGTTTCTGGCCATGATGATGATATTTCTGGCCGCTCTCGCCGTTTCTTCCGAGCTTTGAGCAATCTGAGTCTCTATTCGGGCGCGAATATTCGTATTTAAGTCGCATCGAATTCTGTTGGTGATCCAGGGGTATGAAAGTGGCGCGTGAATCACCATCATAAGGTCGTAGTATGAGCTTTGTATCAGGATTTTCTCCAAGGAGCTCACGTTTTGGGAGACTTCGAATTGCTTGAGATGATCCTTGGGCCGCATTGCGACCGGAATGGAATTTTTCCATTTCCGAAGCTCATTATCGAACTCGGCCACAATACCCAAGAACTTCCCGGGTTGATTGTCCAGCCTTTTGGCCGACATCAGCTTTTTACAGATTCGGCTCGAGATCTGGCAGCTTTCAACGATGTATTTCATAATGATAGGGTCGATTGTACTCCTGGAGTGGGCCACCGCAGGAATGTCGCAGCTAATGTCGTCGTCGTCAATGACCTGCAGAGCGGTCAGCCGATCTATAACTGGATCACGACAGTGCGGGAGGGTGGGTACGTACGGAAGATCGCCCAGTCCTCCGCGCAATGTTCTTTTCACAGCAATATACTGCCCAGAAAAGCCAACTTCGCTGTAATGTCTCAGGGTCCAGAGCCAATTCTGGGAGCAGGACTTTCTTGTGCAACCCAAGGGACTGTGATAGGAAGATAGCATTCGCAATCAGACCAGATCCCAAGGCAGGGCTTCCCAGCCCTTCTGCGAAGAGTGCCTGATTTGGTCAAATCATTTAATAGGGTCACTGGGGTCGCTCATGTGGATCACTAACCATAGCCAACAATGCTCGAACCGCTCGTAGAGAGGGGCTTCTCAGCAGCAGTTCACTGTGGACGGATAGTGCATTGGAAAAATAACCCCAGGCTTCTTCTTGAATATTGGTGAAACTGGCTGCGTGGCTCTCACAGTGATGTAGGCGGCAGCCAGAGGCATAAACTGCATTACGAAGAGCATACCATGCAGGATCGTCGTTGCTTTGTCTGTTCTCAAAATGACGGCGCAAATGCGATTCAAACTCCGGCCGATAGACCACCTCGAATATCGAATCCACAGATCTCTCGAAATATGCTATACTTAGTCAGTATGAATGCTCTACAAGTGGCCTCTTAGAGCCAGGGTTATGCATCACCATATGAGTATTTCCATGCCAGTTCAGACTCAGGCTCAGAAGTGCGAAGCGTTGGCTCGTTACGCTCCAGTCTCAGTTGTTTTGCCCAAGCCACGGTCAAATCTGCAGCTATGCCTGTAAATTCATCCACCCCAGTACGCTGTTGTATCCACGCGAGACCCGGAGGCGAGCACACAGACAGCCAGCACCCAGGACCTATGCACATTACTTGACGTGCTGATACCCTGCGGGTTAGACTTACCGTAACTTTCTGGAATGATCTGTTATTGTATCAGCCGCTGAAATGCTTGGTAGGTCATTATGTATGCCATCCTACACTTTGCGACTCCTCTGAATTGCGGGATGACTTTGGGCTCTCGTAGCAAAGTTCACCTGTCGCTAGCAGATTGAATGTTTCTTGTCGTTCATGCGCAGCAGCATTGTCGGCTACAAACTGGTCGTTCTCATTGGCGTCAAACGACATGAAAGCGTCCAAGTCCAACATGTCTGGTGCCAAGACTTCACTCGATTCGAACAGTCTGGAATCGTGACCAAGAGCGTCTGATTCTTCATTGATCAAGAGATCGAAGTGGCGATCAAAGTTGCTGTGATCGGAAGGTTGAAATGTTGATTGAGGTTGCTGAGAAGTGTCGAGTTGCAGCACGCGTTCCATCGTAATTTTGCCCTTGCTGATTTGGGACAATTTTGCGGCAATCCCATGTAGTTAATGACTTTGTGATGCTCGTGCTCTGGCTTTTGCAGTAGTTGACTGGCCAGCTCAGGTCTTGCCGTGTAGACTTTGCTTCGTCGGTTGCTTCTCTGGCTCGTTACTCAGCAGAAGCATAGAGACCTTTGTGATTGCGCATACTTAGGCCGTGGCAACCTCTTTCAACACTTAAATGCAGATGGGGTGGAAGTTGTGGGAGGAGTCGTAACGTGCCTTCACCTGGCGAAAGATGGAAGGGGGGAGGCCAGCAGGGCCATAGGCGGAGGTGGGGGAAGTTTCCAGCCTAACTCGTACTCGCTCGTACTTTGCCCCCCAGAACATGGCTTGTCGTGCTGCGCTAAGCCCCGCGATTTCAGGCTGGTGAGGCTAGTGGGCTTGGAGGCCTGTGGATTCGGTCCCAGGGTCAATCATTGGCAGCTCGCTCTGTTCTCTTGCTACAGGCAGGGAGCACGGGCTCAATAGGCTCATCAGGCTACTAGGCCAACTCAATTGAGCCAGAGGCTAAACTCGCCTCCAGAACTTCTCCTGCTGCTTTTCCCCGAGGTTCCTGCGTTCTCTTTCACTTCTTGATACTCGGTAGAGATGCTCTTTTTAACTCCCTGCTCCTGAACGTTGCACTGCCCTGCTCTCTTTGCAATCAAACACCAAGATCATAATGTCATCGCGATCGCCAAGGCTGAGGGTCGAAAGAGTGGCGACGGCTTGTCGCAACTGTCGCCAGAGGAAAGTCAGATGTAGACAGCTCTTCTTACCCTCCCTTTTGTTGTGATAGTGACTTTTTGGACAGGCACCGGCAGTGAGCCCTGCAAGGATTGTGTGAGACTGAGGAAAGAATGCATCTATCCTCCTGTCCAACGGAGAAAACGCAAGGCTCAAGACGCAGACGAGCACGGGCCTGACGAACATGGCGAGAGGGTCTGGCAAGCTCAACATTCGAATAGCAGAATTGGAGACGACAATCCGAGTCCAGCACAACCTTTCCTCAACGGTGGTTCCAGAGAACGTGTAGCAACATTTTCTGCTTTCCAAGCCGAGAACGAGCCCACCACGTCGGCTAATCGTCACTCGTGGGAACCAGTACACGCTCTCAGGTCTCCGGTAAATCCAGGGTTTCGTGAGACAGATAATGATTCTGAGTGCTTGCCTTTCCCTGAAGCTCGATCCACAGCCCGCTCAAGAGAACCAGCCTCTGCGTTTGACGTAGCAGTTTCCCACTGTTCAACCCCCCACCCGAGTGAGGACGAACTTTCCTGTGAAAGCTCAGACTGGGAGTATCATGAGCCTTGGTCTTGGACGTCAATTTGCTCTGAGACGGGATCAAAGTGGATATGGACTGTTACTGGAAATCGTGACTTTGGGGCGGCGGCGAAGCGTTTCACAAAGGACATGGTCCGGCGGACACCACATAAATATTTGTCAGCCAGTGTAAGTTCGCCAGAAATCAGTGAAACAACCGCATGGGAGTATGTGAATGGTGAGTGGCTGTTTTATGTCTGATGCTCCCAAGAGGCTGTGGTGACTCGTGCTTTTCAGCCTTTTACGAGAATTGTTGGGAAGCCGACCTTGGGCTTATCGACCGCACGGATTTTGAAGCCCTTCTCAAAGCTCACTATCACAATCAGCTATCAACTACTGGAGCTGCCTGGCTGGCCCTTCGAAACATTGTCTTTGCTGGTGGTTATCGGAGCTTACTCGCGAAAGACCCTAACGTCTCTTTCGCATCGGCACAGGCTAAGGCAGGCCGCTTTTTCAAGACTGCGTTATCGGTGTTTACAAGGCTTGTATTACCGCCTTCAAGTTTGATGGCCATTCGAGCCCTCACACTCATGGTATGCTGCGATACAACCGCGACACGAGAGAAGTGGTTACATCCTGACTCTTTGTAGGCATGTTATGTCGAAGGACTGGGCAACGCTCCTCTCAAGCGTCTTTTGTGCTCCAATGCCGTCCATCTGGCTCAATCTAAGGGGCTTCACCGTCAGCCGGATAAAGCATGGGGGCATTCTGAAAATGAAGTCCTGAAGAGAAATTGGCTTTGGTGGACGATTTATGCCCTCGAAAAACATCTTGCACTGTGTGGGAGCCGGCCGTCTGCCATTGATGACGACAATATCAGTGCTCAAATTCCAACAACCGTACCCAGCAGAAGCAACATTCACTCACCAACCCTCTCTATTGGCATTCGCTACTCCAAAATACACTCCCAGATCTCACGTCAGCTGTTATCTTTCAAAGCTCTCTCGATGTCGATGAATGAGCTCATCGGATGCGTGAATCACTTTCATGCTCAACTCAAACAATTGCTTGACGAAATGCCTGCCGAGTTCAAGATTGGTACGCTGGCCAGGCCACATCATTCGACTCGGCGCCTCATCCACATACTCTATCTTCACTTCTCCATATATGGGAGTCTCATGGCGGTACATGCGCATTTCTTCTACCCTTGGATGACGTCCAGATTCGCCACGGACGGCTCTGACGCTGCTCTCGAAGCGCAGATTGCTTCCTCGTCTATCACTGTTGCTGAATCGGCGCGCAAGATAATCCTTGCCATTCGCCTTATCAACACAAATGTAACGACTCCGTCATGGCTAGCATTTTACTATCCGATCTACGCAGTTATCAACCTATTCATCTATGTTCTAAAATACCCAACATTGTCAACCGCAACTGCGGACCTGGGGCTTCTGGATGTCTGTGCTGGGCATTTCGGCTATATCGAATTCCTCACCTCGTCGCAGGTGTCCATCTCTTTGCCGAGAGAAGCAGCAAATGTCGCCTCCAAGCTCGTCAAAGCGGCGAAGGCAAAGGAATCTGAACCTACCTCAGTGCCAAGCACTGCCATCTTTGAGCAACAAAGCAGTACTACTCCTATGCTGCATCTGAACGTCGATACCCTCGAATTTAACAATGCACAAAGTGGCTCGACAGATCTGGGCGATGTAAGTCACTATGGTTTCTCAACCATTCTCGAGACAAATTCTAACATCTTCTGCTACTAGTTGGGAAATTATATGAGCCCGGACTCAGCCGGGTGGAACTTGTTGTCCTCATTCGACATGGTCAATTCGACAGTCCTAGGTTTTGAGACATTCACATGATAGTCGACAGCTCGACAATAACCCTCGACACTTCGACCTGAAACTCGACCACATCTGCCTTTTAAAATTCGAGCTCGACAACTTGACCCCATGCGTTGCACTCCCGAGCAAAATTCGGGGCGAAAAAGTCAATGCTGTTGTCGTCTTCTCTACACGGGACATTCCACCCGTCGAGCTGTATCAAGAGGCGAAGCAGTCCAAACCCTAGCAAATTGACCGTTCCGCACTGCCCAAGATCAGCGACCACATGGCCGGGGAATTTTTGAGTACCGATCGTCGACATGAGGACCACGACGCCATAAGGAGATGATCATACGAGGTCCGCTGTCAGAAACTACCGTCCTGTGATGTATACAGACCTTTCAGGATATCTTGCATTCTCATACAACGGAGAGGAAGTCGCGGAGCCTCGCTCGGATCCACTGAAAGCTACCGTAGCCCCATTCCAGCCTACAGTGCTGACGTCTTGCTAGCAAACGCGGGACTCCGAATGGATGCTTCGGATGAGGAAACTGCCAGGCGTTCGTGGATGCCGATACTTTTCTCTGGTCCCTCAACTCCTGCAGTTAGTTCTCGGCATGGAGAAAAAGGTGCTTACCTTCGGCCCGAGATGTTGTCAAGAACAATCACGTGCCGCTTCGGGTCCTCGGCTCTCTATTCCTTTCTGGAAAGTCCCGAGTAAGCTAATATTATTACCCTCAATCCGTTCCTAGATGAAGGCGCCTCCACAACGTTCCCACAGAAGAATCCCCGCTTTCGCAGCATTTGCATTAGCCTGCAGGATCCGCAGAATGCCTCGATCATTCGGTTAGTTCATGAGAACTCTCGGACCAGTGGCTGGCTTTGTGATTTGACTCGGGATGGAACTGGCGTGCAAGGCGTTCGGACGTTGATGATCCATCCGAAATGTGGGCTGGGATAGTCCACGCGCTTGCGGAGGCTTCGATTTCTGGAAATGAAGAGACCCATCTTGCTGATGGCCAAGTACACTGTAGTTGTTCATCAGATGCCATTGCTCGCATCCGCAGAAAGTACTTTCAAGCCCAGCAGAATCGTGTTCTTACCATCCTCGATCGCTGCCGCGGGCTTTAGATACGGATGGCACCGATTCCAACCTACGTACCACCTCCTGGTCTAAGAACCAAACTAGACGATTTCCGAGAATATCTAAACGACAAGTACGGTCAACAGCTAAGTAAGAGCTTCATCCTCCAGATCGTAGATTATCGGAGCCATGTAGCAATGATAGTTACATCCAGGAAAGTCTGTTAACGTCTCTTGCTTTCAGCTACCTATGCCGACCTACATGCATTTTCCACAAATCGACTCAACGACTTCTGGTTATCGCTTTGGAACTTCGCAGGTATCAAAGAGTCAGCACATCCAGCCAAGGTATAGGTTTAGATTCTGGCTGGCATTGTCAAGCTGGCTTACAACTAAATTAGGCTATAGATGATAATGCGGTCATCGACCGATTTCCATCCTTCTTTGAAGGCGCCAGATTGAACTTCAGCGAGAACATACTAGCAGGAAAGGCTGACGGAGTGGCCGTCATCGACATGAACGAAAGCAACATTTCCCAGCCGGAGCGATACTCATGGCAGGATTTGCGGGAATTGACGCGACAATATTCCGATGCATTAAAGTCGTCTGGCCTCAAGAAGGGAGAAGTTGTCGCACGTATATTTATACCTCTCTGTCATGTTGCCCCAAATATCGTTGCTGATTTGGGGCAGTTGTCGGATCAAATTGCATACGTTCGCTTGCCTTGTTGCTGGCAACAGCTGCCGTAGGAGGCATATTCAGCTCTTTCGCAACTGACATGGGGGAAAAGGTGCGCACTGTACATTACAGTCTCGGCAGATATTTACTGAAGTACCAATTAGGCCCTTGACGATCGACTTCAGTTACTAAAGCCGCGTTTGCTGATTGCAGAGTCTATATACTCTTACAAGGGGAAAAGGCACGATATCTCTTACAAACTCGACTCATCGATCAAAAAACTTCAGCAGATCAACGAGTGTGAGGCGATCATAATCGGCCCAGGACAGAACCTTGCATCAAAATGGTCTGAAGTCCGAAAAAGACCGGTTGATGAAGTCAGGGCTCTGACATAGCCTCAGGTCCTCCTTCGACAGCTTCCTTAAACGAGCAATTGGCAGAAAGTTGAAATTCAAGCAAGTCTCTTTCAACACACCATTTGTGGTGATGTTCTCTTCAGGAACCACAGGCACTCCAAAAGGTATAGTTCATTCACATGGAGTACGTATTCAAGATTTGTGGTCATTTAGCGGAGATTACAGCTGACTGGTTATAGGGACTGGTCATAAACGGCGTAAAAGAGTATCTTCTCCATAACAACCTCGGACCAGACGATTTGCATTATCAGTATACTAACGTGAGGGATTATGATTCTGTCAGAGAGACGCGTCTAACGATTTTCAGATCGGATGGACTCTGTGGAATATATCAATCGGTGCTCTGTTCGTTGGCGCCAGCTTGATTCTTTATGATGGTAGTCCATTCTACCCAAGTGCGGAGAAATTTCTGGAGGTCCTTTTCAGGAATAGGTTCGGCGGTCTCTTGTGCCCAGCGAGGATAAGTGGCTATTACTTATGGGATCCAGGATCACTTCGTTTGGTGCTGGGCCACGGTATTATTCGGAGTTACAGAAACTGAAGGTCCAACCAAGTAAGTCGCTCATGAATGTCCTCAGGAGCTCGTCTATCTCGATCACTAAGCTGTTTGGGCCCAGAAAAATACTGTCACCACCTTCACTCCATAATATCCACAGGCGCCGTTCTGACACCTCCTCTCGCGGAATGGCTCGCGAATGCTTTCGGTCCTGTTTGTCAGATCTCCATGTCTGGAGGTACCGAGCTCTGTGGCGCCTTTCTACACGGTACTCGCTCGTTACCCTCATATCCTGGAGAGATGGCGGTCAAGGCTCTCGGCATGGATGTTGTCGTTTTCTCTGCTGATGGGAAGCCGCTCCAAGACGGAGAGAGCGGCGAGCTCGTCTGCCGAAAACCATTTCCGAATATGCCTGCCAAGTTCTGGAATGATCATGAGCGCAAGCGATACTACAACTCATATTTTGCTACTTTCCCCCGTAAGTTGAGTGCTGCTAGATTTCTCAGAGAAGCACACATGGGAGACTCACATGAAATTCTAGATGTGTGGACACACGGAGACTTCATTCAAGTCAATCGAGAGACGAAAGGTATTTACGTTCTTGGCAGAAGGTGCGTTTGTTCACCACCCCAAAATCCTCAATAGCCCATACAAAACTGAATACATCTCAGCGACGGAGTGCTCAATCCATCAGGTGTGCGATTTGGCAGTTCCGAGATTTACAACATCCTTGCGACACCGAAGCTCAACGGCCTTATCACGGATGCCATCGTGGTCGGTCAACAACGTGTCGAACCCCCATTTGTTGACGCAGCGGAACGGGTCGTGCTCTTCATCAAGTGCACTCCACATGCCAGCACGGGAACGTGGCATCCGCGAACAGAGGTAAAATCCGCGATATGTGAGCAGATCGTCGCCAACTTAAGTCGGAGACATGTCCCCGCTTTCATCTTCGAGACTGCGGAAGTGCCGTACAACGCTAATGGGAAGAAGCTGGAGATCCAGGTCAAGGCGGTGCTGTGTAGGGGTAAACAAGCACTCTCAAGGTTGAAGCTGACTCAGGAGGAGTTGAGGCAAATCAAGTGGTTTGAAAGGTTCTATGAGATTGAAAAGATGGCTAAAGAGATGGAGACAGGCGGTCCGCATTTATGAAAAGGACACAATTATGAACGGGCGAAAGGCAAACATGAGGGCCAGAACGACGTCTTCTTTGGCATCGTGTACGTTAACATACTATTGCATTGCCACCCTCTTGTGAATTCAATTCCGCCGTGAAGGAACAATGTCAGCATCACCAGACTTTTATTACGGCCAAGAAGGCCTGGCGGGCAAGATAAGGCTCCTCAAACCTCCAAACCCGCCTCTACCGCCATCTTCGGTGTTGAACCAACCCTCGATCGTAAACTCATCACCGTCTTTGATCCATGACATTGGCTCCCCGTCCACTTCTGGTAGCACGTGCTTCTGTGCGAGAGCCTCTAACAAACAGCCGTAGGTACCCAGACCCTTTTTCACCTCAGGCGCCGGCGATGATATGGTGCCACTAGCCACCAGATCGCCGGTGTTGATGCCGTGACCGGTAGAGGACTGATATGCTACCTGCTGAGGCATGCTCCAGTACGACGAGGCATAATTAGATCGTACGATTTCCACGCCCGCATTGGCACCACCTGCCTAGGCGTTAGCACTGCGCAGTCGCTGCGGAAGTGGTCCAGACTTACGCTTGACAATGGCAGTGAACTCAATATCGTAGACACCGTGGTTTCTTTCATCGGCAACAAGTGATGGATGGATATTTGTTCCGTTGGATGTAGGTGGTCCGGTTTTGCTGCTGTCCAGAGCGTCGACTGTCACAACCCATGGAGAGATCGTCGTGATGAAGCCTTTAGAATGCAACGGTCCGAGAGGCGGCATCTCGTACTTCTGTATATCGCGAGCTGACCAGTCGTTGTGCAAGACATATCCGAAGATGTGATCTGCGGCAGTATTGGCATCTACAGTGGTGCCGAAAGGGATAGGCTTAGAAATGAATGCTCCAAGCTCTATCTCGAAATCGAGCTGTTTGGTCGGCTGGAAGGTAGGTCGGCTATCCCCGTCATTGAGGTAGAAGCCACTAGGCCGAACTACGTCGGTGCCGGATGGTCGAATGGAGGAAATGCGACCATTGTAACCCATTGGATACTCGGTGAAGGCTCGAGGAAGCTCAAGTCCCAGCGGATGCATTGACTGACAATCATTCAGTGATGAGTGATGCCCAAAGAGACAATCGGGCTCACATTTTGAGCATGAATAAGGGACGAAAAGGAGTCGGTGTAGTCTGTGATTTTCATAGGCAGATGCATCTGAACCTCCTTCGCGGCTACAAAAGCCTTTTCATTCAACTCCGCGATTGTAAACAGCATCGAGTCCGCCTTGGATAGGTTTTCAATAATGGTAGATCTGACTCGCTTCCTATGCTCAGCAGGCAAGGCTGCAAAAGAATTTAGAACAGGCTATTGTCGGTCAGCGATGCCGGTCTGGAAACACTGTTGAGGAGTAATACCTCCAAGAAGATTTCTCCCCATGAATTTGAAGTTTGTGGACTTGCACCAAATACTCCATAGTCCGCCAATACATGGAGCTCAATGACGAGATCTCCAATGGCGACGCCAGCCCGTGGTTGGGGCTAAACAGAAATATTTGCGTCAGTATGGACGGCAGGTCTAATAGAAATGGAGGAGCTAACCCCATGACCGATTCCTGGCAATGTGCTGAAAACACCAAAAGGAATGTTATATAGCCCAAAAGGGCTGTCCTTAGAAATCGATATTGGAAATGAAGTAGCAACCATGATACACGAGATAATTTTGTTCTGCTTTAGAAACACTGGAGGTAGGGGGTAGGTTCGACTCGACCTGTGATTTGTATGGCGTACCAGAAGTAGACTTACTTCGGGCCGAGATGTAGAGAGCGGAGAACTAACTATTCCTCGGCCTGTGCCAAAGAGTGCGAAGTTCGGACTGCTTTTGACAGCCATCGGTCCTCCGACTAGAATTAGCGACCATCCAGGGATGCAGACCCCGGCTGGGGGGTGAAGGTGGATCGGAGACCTAGACTCGGGGTGCTGTGGGTACCTGGGGCACGAGTTCCAGCCTTGCGGTGGCAGTATATACATTAAGCGACGGGAGCACCACAAGGAAGGTCGAATCCAACAGTCCCAGACTACCCGTGACCGGACGCCTAGACGACACACTTTGAGGCTTGTAACATTCTCCAACCAACAACACTTTTTCGGTTCAATATGGGAAGCCCAGATAGCACGCACATCGAGGCTGCTGTTGCTCAGCGACCCTCACAAAATTACTGGAATCGTCTCAAAACTCTGGTTTTGGTGGTGGTAGGCAAGATCCTTTCTTAAAAAAAAAGATCACAGAATCTGTATTGACTCAGGTCGCCAGGCCGTCGGCAGCATCTACTTCGGACAGCTGACCTTGTTGGTTGGCGGAGGTCTACTCGCTCGGAGCATTGCAGCTGTCGTCGGCGACCCCTCCCTCACCGCGTGGCCTACGGCTGTACTCGGAATCTTGGTCGCTGCCCTTGGTCCTCCTGCCGCCCAAATTGCCGACTTTTGGGGCAGAAAGTGGCTTTTAGTAGGCTTCACAGCCTGTGGATGTATCGGTGCAATCATTGTGTCAAGAGCGAGCTCTATGGGAATGGCAATAGCGGGCTTTACGATCGGTGGCTTGTCGTGTGTTGCTCAGCCGCTCCTCCACGCGGTCGTTTCAGAAGTGCTGCCACGGAAGTATCGATCTTGGGCTCAAGCCAGTGTGAACGTGTCGGTAGGCCTGGGTGCCATATACGGACTCCTCGCTGGAGGTGCTCTCACCGCATCCAACCCTGAGGGATTTCGCATTTACTTTTACATCTCGGCCGGTGTTTATGCGGCTTCTGCAACAGCATGCACCCTGTTGTACAATCCGCCACAAAGAGAGACCCAAATTGCAAGTTTCCGGGCCAAATTGCGGCAGCTTGACTGGGTCGGATACGCCATGGTCGCTTCGGGAGTATCTCTTCTTTGCATAGGCCTTTCGTGGGCTGAGAATCCATATCCGTGGAAGAGCTCACAGGTGCTTGGCCCATTCCTGGTCGGAGTGGTCATCCTGCTGGGTCTCATCGTGTATGAATGGAAGTTCAAGAAGGATGGCCTGTTTCATCACCGCTTGTTCATCGACCGCAACTTCGCTATCGCGCTTGTTTGCATATATGTTGAAGGCCACTGTGCTTTCGCGGCCAATTACTTTGTGCCATTTCAGCTCAGCACAGTGTACCCGTCGATGGGTTCTTTCCGAGTGGGCCTATGCTATGCTGTGTCCTATTTCGCATTCGTCGTATCCGCTCTGGCTGCCGGGCTGATTATCTGGAAGAAAAGATCGGTTCGATACCCCTCAATGACCGGATTCCTCGGGTTTCTGCTATTCTTTGCTCTTGCAGCCACGTCAAAAGCAAGCACTCCTGAAGCCAACTTCTGGGGCTACATGATCTTCCTTGGAGGAGGCCTGGGATTCCTTCTGACCACCCTCGTTGTTGCAGCACAATTCTCGACCCCACCCGAGCTCATTGCGATTACATCTGGTCTGGTGTTGTCAGTTCGAAGCTTGGGAGCGTCGACAGGACTGGTGATCTACCAAGCCATCTTCAGTGCTGGGATCTCGAAGAATCTGGTGTCAAAGATCGCCGCAGCGACCTTACCTCTCGGACTCCCTGAGACATCATTGGTATCATTGATCGGAGCATTGACGTCCGGCGATCCAGCTTCGTTGTCAAAGGTACCGGAAGCAACTCCAGAAATTATCGCAGCAGCCGAAGTGGCACTGCGGAAGGCATATAGTATTGCTTTCAGCCACGTTTGGGCTGCTGCGGCTTCATTCACATTCCTAGCTTTGGCTGGTGGGTGGCCCCCGCCGCATGCTTTTGCATCAAACCGACAGGCTGACGAGGAACAGGCTCCGTATTCCTTCGGGAACCAAAGAGCGAGTTCACGGCATCCATTGATGCGCCTCTCGATATTTTCGAGGACAAACCCGAGAACAGTGCGGTCGATTGCTCCGGCACTGGCAAGACTAACTTGTAAGGTGATCGGACAGACAATTTTTAGGATTGAGAAAAGGAAGAAGTACAGGGCAGCCCGGCCAGCCTGGCTGGCTGAGTCTGCTATTCGGGAGATGCTCCGGGGGTGCTTAGTGAAGCCACTAGGCTTAGTTCAAGCTAGTTTAAAGTGGGCGTCGCTCACCCTCTAGGTTCAAACACGTATTTAGGTAGCAAGAAGGTTTTCGTTCGCGAGCAATGGAAGTAGTACTTGGTTCCAGGAAGCCTCCGAGCAACGCCCACATCTATGCATGTACGGAGCAGGGAGCAGGGAGTGCTACCGTGTACAACTACGAGGAGTTTTAGTTAGCATCGCCAGGTTTTAGCGAGTACGTATTACCCCCATTGAAGCAAGCGAGCGAGGCTAGGGCCCCAGTCGCTGGCTTAAACATCCGGGACCCGTGCTTGCTTGCATGCATGAATACGTGCAGCATGCGGGGAGGCAGGCATGGGCCCCAGGGATTTTCTAGATTCTAGTCCAAGTTCACTCTCAATCTCAACTTCAGACATTGCCATTGGGATTCATGAGGACCGGTACGTATGTAGCGCTGTACACTCGCATGGTTTCGATGACTTGATGAATGTCTCCTGGAACACGCTGAGAAGAAGTGTTGCGTGCACGGATTATTCGTTCTGGTGTACTCTATTTACGAATTGCATTGCTCCTGTGCATGGGATGGCTGCAAGCTGCCTTGGTATATCTCTGCCTATTTGCCTACCGATTTTGCCCCTATGGGGAGCTGGGGGCCGTGTCTCGAGATGTTAGCTGACGCACGCCGACGACACGTTACGTTTCGGTATGCCAAGGGCTGTGAGGATCGAGGAATGGTGTGTCCCGAGTCTCGCTGGAGTTGCAGGTATTGCGCACGGAGCGATGATGAGTTCGTTGTGATATTCAGCGGGGGATTGCTATGGACAAGCAATGGAATGAGAGAGGAGTTGCACGAAAGGACCCCAATGGGCCCGTGAGCGAGCGAGCGAGGTGCTCGACCTCAGGCTGCCCCGGTCAGATCTCTCAACATGTGGTGACGCATATCGTCCATCCGTCCGTTCGGGAGTTTCAGTGAGGAAGAGCGAATCGATATCGATACTGACGAGCAGACAGGATGACGGAGTTTTCCACTGGAAGGATGGTTCAAATTAGCCATGAGAGGAGAGAGAGATATAGGTCGTTCGCATTCCGCGATATCGATCAATCGACAACGACCTCTTACAGCAGAGGTGGGTTGAGGGAGATGGATAAGCGCTCTCGGCTTGCAGACGCAATGGGTTGATCCTCGATAAGTCAGGGTTATTTCACGATCTCGATGCCTGGGAAAGAAAATGTGGGGAGACGACTTCGTCACTGACCACGGCAAGGGTCGGTTTGCTCGAAAAGATCGTCGTCATGTCGTGCGAACATCATCATTCTCAGGGAAAAGAAACGGGTCCAGAACTCTCTCGCACAACATTCTGTTGGTGAGTTTTGCGTGTGCATCACCCGGGAGTCTCTGTCATGCTCTCATGGAGGGAAAGAAACCTTGCATCATCATCCCAGGATAGTCGTCACAATCTCCAGGGTTTATACCCATTCTGAGGAACTGAACCAGACATTCAGGGCGACTGATCGGTGCAAGAAAGACGCTGATCCTGAAGTCCTCGGTCGAAGAGCAGAGGGCGAAACGAGGTCTAACAAAGCTGTCCATTGAACTATCGTTTTGACCCTCCTCCGTAGCGTGTGGCCAGCAATTGAATTCTCCGGAACGGCACGTGGGTTATCAGAGAGTGAGCGACTTTGGGGACTCTACAAACGTATAACGGTCTTAGTTGCTCAGATGAATAGGTAAAATCTGCTGCAATCTGCCCTCTAGGAGAGTCAACGACTTAAGAGCTGACGAGATGGAGATAGCGTTGTCAAGAGCGAGCAAGCCCTTGTAAAGACAATTTTGCGGCTTGGACATAAGCTGAGATCATGCAAAGGGCAAGACATGGCCACACAAGGGCAGCTTCCCGAGACGGATGGGTAAGATAGCAACAATCATCAGAGTAGCTATAATTGGGGAGCAGTGAGGGCGCGCAGAGTGCGTCACAAAGTTGGACTCGAACAGGTATGATCAACAGTTTACAGATGAGAAGCCCTCTTTCCGTATGGACAAGCCATCAGCACCAACGGAAGGGATCGTCAGAACGTCACGACGGGTCAAATCTGCTGCGAGTGCGCCTGACATGGGAATAGCAACGACTATCGACGGCGAGACACAGTCGTGATGATGTCCACTCGCCGGTTCAAGACCCTTGGACTACATACTGCCGAGAAGGGGCCCCTCTCTATCTCTCTGCTCCCGGTGACACAGCGGACAAAGAGTCAAGACCGTCCAACAATGGGAGACAAAATACAATCTCAATCTCGATCTCGATTTCGATCTAGGGAGGCAAAAGCGACAGGACAACCACTTGGTTGCAACGAAGGAGGGGAACATCTTCTTGAGGCCATGAGGTGAGTCTCGAATATGTACTACCGTCGGCGACATGTGGAAAAGGTAATTTTGAAGACAAATGGACGGAGGGTCTGAGAGCTCCGTTCGGACTGATAAAAAGGACCAGGGATTGCTTGACCGTATCGCGAGAACGAAGCATCAGCGCCAGTTTTGCCGCAGGTGATGGAGGTATCCGGCCCTGACTGAGGGGAGGCGAAGCTGTTGACCTTGCCCCCTCTTGGACTCGTCAAGTTGTCGAGTAGCGAGTTGAAAGAATGGCTCCCTTTGTGCAGTCGACATGTCCCACAGGCTTCAACATCACATAGTGCTGAATATCCCCTCCCCTCTCACTCCCTCTGCCTAATTCAAAGAATCCAGACCCCTCAAAGGAGGAGAGACTAATTGGAGGCAGATTCTGTGTATCGTCGATGGAAGAATACAAGGTAGGTAGAGCTATATCCCTCGCCAGCTGAAATAATGGGAGAATCCTATCGAACAATCACAATTCAGCATCTCTGGTTTCACAATTCCCATGATGGAGCGTGAGGCCAGAATGGGTCTATGATGCCACCGACCCCGTCGATCAGCAACGTGGCGACGGTGATGGGCGATTGTGGAGAAAAGGGGGTCTGGAGACTGTTTTGTTCGTTGAAGGAATCTGGCAATGTTCCATGACGTGCTTTGCGGGAGAGAAGCAAGGTAGGGATGATGCAAGTGATCGACGAGGCTGTTACCCAACGCAGGGCTGTGGATGGAAGCAACCCATCCAGGCAGCAAAGGAGGAGAAGACTGACTTTTTGTCAGCGCCCTCTGGTGCTGGTGCCGTGCACAGTGCTAGTCTTTGTCCTCCGTACACAGTTGCTGCTACCCACTGGCCCCACGTTCGCTGATTTCGCTGATTTGGGTGGAAAGCCTTGTATTTTATTAAGAACAAGCTCTCGAGTTGCTTACTTTGAATGATCATATACCTTTTGATTCATCGGGCAACTTATGGCATTCCCGATAGAGTTGTTTGTGTAAAGGTGATTCTGACACACGTGTTTTAAGAAAACAGGATTAAACCGGCCTTACTGGCTCAGTTTCAGGCTGGTCTACATGGAAATAAGAGGCAGGTTTTGTAAAAATTCATTTCGGCTTGATATCGTAAGCTCTATATGTGGTTGTAGAGAGTAGTAATGCGCCGCCCAGTGTCGATGGTGCTTTTTTGAAAGGTACAAATAATCCTGAACTTGTCATTTTGGTGAATTTAGATCGAAGCTCAAACACCGAGAAGGACGCCTGCGAAAGCCGTGAGATGGAGATTGTCAGAGGTTGGGAGGTGCAGGCGTCTGTACAACTCCGAATTTGTGAGCTCGGAGCAGGGTGTATGACATGTCAGCCCGGACAATCAACCAAATTCCTCAATCTGCTCGATGACAGCCCCATCACTTCTGTGATTGTAGAGATTTTTGTAGTATAAGTTTGACAGCTCGAACGCTCGGCTCCGGAAGAGCTGCAGGGAGGATTTAAAAGGATGATCGCGATGAGTTGCTGCTATGTGTGCTCTGCTTTGAGAGTCCGCCTTCGGCGTGGGCAGCGACACCGACTGGAGGACTTCGTCGGCGTGCTGATCGTGTTGCTGCATCCATTTGTTGTTTCGTGTGCATATGCATCATTCGAGAATATGAAGTCATTGCCGCAATAGGGTCAGACTCGTAGTTGAGACTCTGGTGAGGGCTGGTGAGGTATTCAACGGCGGAAGGCATGGTTGGTGATGATATGGAAGCGTTTGAGAGCCTTCTGATAATTGTTATGTGGAATCTGCAGAGTTCAACACAGAGTTGAGATTGCTCGAGCTCGAACAGACCGCTAAAGTATCTTGGAGATGTTGCTGGATCTGGGCTAGAGGTGTCAAAAGGGGAATGCTGGCAGTATGGTTATATATTTCGCAGAGACTATTCAGCACACCAGGCTGAACCACCATTGGGGAGAAAGAGAGAACAATGACCAACGAAATGGGGGCAAAGTCAAGGCCTGGAGCCGGAGGAATGGCGTATGGCATGTCCAATGGGCGTTGTGAGACTTCTGGAGAGGTTATGCAGGTTGCCGTCAGTGGGACAAAGCTGAGTGGTCATCTGGCGAACTAGATTTCAATGGTATGGTGATCAAACGGCAGAGGTGGCCTTCGATCCCCAGCGAAAATGAAGATTCCCGCGACCAAACCGACCAGACCGTGGGCATCGAGCAAATGGTCACAGAGAACGCTGTTCGCAGGTGGAGAACGACCCTGCTGATCAGTCGAGAGCAGAGTCTTCAAGGGTCTGGTGGTTGAGGCATGCAATATGATCACATCTCGCATTCGACCGGCATGAGTGAAAAATGTGGATCGCGAGGGAGGCTCTAGACTCAGCGCTTTTCTGCCGAGGGATTCTCGTCGTTAGGGACTCAAGATAATCATGTCGGGGATTTTATTGAAGATTGATCGTCGTGAGGGGAGATGCTGTCGCGGAGAGTTTGCCTACCTGTCCAGTCGACAACGGTAAGACGAGTAAAGGACTGCAGGCTAGATTGTACAGAAATCAACGCGGAAACAAGAAAAAGGTGTCAGGCACAAGTTCTTTTCCATTTTTCGTTAATGTGTAGGAGAGGTTCGTGGCACTCGTCGTGATAGCTGATGATGCTGGCGTCTGGCATAGGGGGGAGAGCCGACGACCCTCTCTGCCTTCTCGCCGTGTCAGTGGAAGCGATGACGTCGGACAAGCATCGGAATGGAGCCCCAGCCTTGCGTCTGCCAAGCCCGCTACCATCTTACTAGTCCTAATGCGGTATCAGGGCATAAACCATGGCAACCACCGTTTCTGCTCAGGTCCTTGAGTGGTCCGCATCGGTGTACTCGATAGCTGCGCCTCGTTCTCTGTCGTGAGATAGAACTGAATCCCCCCGTCATAAACAATCGCACGACCATCCTAGCACTCATGAGTCTGCCAGTCAAAGATATATCTCCCCCTTGTCCAATCGAAGTCTCCAATATTTATGGTTTCTGCAGGGAAAGGTCGTGGATTACCAGGGGCCCGTCGGATTCAACTATGCGAGGCATACCTGATCCTACTCAAATCCAGGCCACAGGCAATGGCTCATTTGTGGATGACCCGTCAAGACCCGGCATGTTCGTAACACGCTAACGGCTATCGCGTCCGCTGCCTCCTCGGAATGAGAGATGTCAGTATGGGTTCCGAGTCGATGCTCCTTCTGACGGCACTTATTCCACAGTCAATCAGGCAGAGCTGGTTGTGTGCTCGTGGCTGGGGTCGTTGATGGTTTAGTGGGTGTGAAGGAGACGTCTCTGAGGTCACTGTACCCTGTTATCCTGTATGGGAAGATGGAGAAAGACGGTCTGAATAGTCCACCAAGCATGGAACAAGCTTCAACAGAGGCAGTGGGCAATCCATCAGCGCCCATTTCCATACTGGTTTTGTGCACCGGGATAGTGGGCCCATCCGTCGGGCGGAGGGGCAAAGGTTGGCGGCGGCGGAGGATGAGGAGTGAAGGGAATATTCTGGTATCCAGTGTGGCCTTGGGGAAGCGGTGGAGGCGGAGGAGGAGGCCACGGACCAACCCATTGGGGAGGTCTCGGAGGAGGTACAGGCATACCGGTAGGTGGTAGGGGCAGAGGTGGAAACGACATTCCCAGAGCAGGCGGAGGTGGAGGAATCGGCGCGATGTTCGAATTGATGTGAGCCGTTGATGGGTCAAACCTCGATGATTGCTCGTGTCGCGGATAATGATCTTCAGGTGAATAGGGGCGGCTTCCCGACCGTGACCGACCGCGGCTTCCACTCCATCGTCTCCCTGGTCTGTCTGAGGCGCGTCTGCGAGGTGACCTGCTGTACGACCTTGAGGATCTGGAATGTCCGTTGGTCGAATTGCTGCGACGCCTGCGCTTATGAGGTGTTGCACTTCGACTGCGATCCGAGCTTCTTGATCTCGTCCGTCGAGAGGAGTCATCAGAACCCCTCCTGGCACGTTTCTTCATCTTGTCACAAAAGGACCGGGACCATCCATAATATGTATCGCCGACCAGATCTCCGGCCTCATCATGGTATGAGATCTGACCCATTTCGTCAATCTCCGGAGACAATCCAGACTCTTCGAGCTTGGGAAGAGTGTTCTCAATGCCCTTGACATCGTTCAAAAAGTCTTTCAGTGCATTGACTAGACTCTCATCAGCGGGGCCAGCGGAAAACTGGAGTGCCCGGACCTCGTCAGGCCGTATTGGCTGTGAACTGTTCGGGATAATGTGGCGCATCAGAGTACCTGCTGGGAGATCGTAGAACGGCGATGAAGGGTCGCCGTGTGTCGGGGGAATGAGGTATGGGAGCTCAGTATCTCTCTCTTTGCGCTGGACGTCTGGTTCAAGCGTCGGTTTCGTCTCAGTGGTTGTGCCTGCTAAGACATCGTGCAGTTGATTGGTAACATGTCTGCCAAAGTACTCCTCTTCTTTCCATAGTTGGATCAAATCAGACAGCCGCCTCCGCACGCGTGTCTTGGCGTCCGAAGAGCCGAATTGGACGAGATCAGCCAGGAATGGCTCGAGAGATTGTGAAAGGTTGTTGCGAAGGGTGAAATCGGCTTCATGGTATTTGGCATGGTGGAGAAGGTCATTTAACAAATAGAGGATATGAAGTCGCCGACGCGAGGCTCTTGTGAGTATTGCTTCTTCTGGCTGAGTCGCAAGGTGTCTGGATATTGCGACCAAATATTTCCCTAACGCGGTAGTCCTTGCCGCAGAGACGACGACATTTTCCAACAGCCATTGTTTACATGTCTAAAATTCTTCAGTCAATCCACCTCCATTGTTTGCGTCATTCTTGAGTTTCCCAGACCTGTATATTGCGACTCGAGCATTGAGTGAGGGTAGCCTCGAAGGCGTTGTGAAAGTTGGGAAGGTCATCGCGGGCAACCTTTGTGACGTCGGGGCGCAGGAGAGAGGCGCCAAAGGAGGCTTTGGCAAGAGAGATGTGGTGAGCAGCCATTTGAGTTATACAAGAAGCGGAATCGATAGTTTTGACATTTGTTCTTTAAGTTGTTCGGTTTCCGAGACGTCTACCCAGTACATGGTAACCGAACCGGCATGAACATGTTTGAAAAGGTTGACAAGGCTGCGCAAGCGGGACTCTAGCCACATCAGCCACATCAGCTGCAGTCACGTGTATCCACGCCACACTGCTCAGCTTCTTCATACAGGGTCTTTTCGGATAAGGCTGAAGAACATCTCTTTGTCTTCCAGCACGCCACCCGCGCCACCCACGCCACCCACGCCACCTGCTTGTGATCGTCCTATGAGATAGAGGTGCTTTAAAATACTCGGACATGATAGGCCAACGCTGTCGGGCTGCTCTCCTGCCATTCCAGGCGAGTTGGTTTCCGGCACGCTTTCCGTGTGTATTTCGGATTCTCGGTATACCCCTTCAGTACCACCCGCTGCCTACTCCTACTGCCTAATGATTCCCGCAAGCCCTCTCGCTCAGCTGAGGGCCCGCTCCCATCTTACAAACAATAGACAAATTCACTGGACGGTAGCATTTGAAGTATGGGTGTCTCAGGCCACTGACCCTGCAACCTGATGCCCAACAGGCGTTTTGTTCTCCGTACCTGGCATCCCCATCCTCCAGCAGCATCATTTCTATTGCTCAGCACGCAATCGCCTCCTGTTACTCCGTACTAGTACCTTGCAACTTTGTTCCTGCGGATTCGGCGCCTGACTGTGAGTCCCAAGGTCCTCAACATTAGCCTTTGCCTACCACCTCTTGACGCCTTTTGATCCCACACTCAGTGGCCCCTTTAAAACATCCCGCTTCCCCCTCTCCTCGGTTTCCCTGAGATTCTTCTGCATTGTACGGAGTGCAAAGATCTAAACGGAGTATTCCTATACCTATTTCCAAGCGGGACGTTTCCGCAGTTGACTCTCCTCTATTTTGGATCTCCCTTCCCCGACACCTCCCTACAATTCGCGTTCTTCGTTGTATAAACGCCCTACTTCTAGACGCACAGTCATGAGTCTCGCAGGCACAGTCACCAGCACCCTCACACAAACGGCGGTTCGCCATTTCTCAGCGCAAGCACCCAAGCCGGCCACGAGATTACAATCGGCCGTCGCAGGGACTCTAATAACGTCGGCGGTCCTTTTACCTTTTGTCCCTCCTGCAATTGAGTCGAAGCGCGAACGGGACTCAGGACACCCAAATGCCTCCAGAAAGCACTATGCACCCCTTTGCTGCCATGCATGATGGGAATGTATTGGCGAATTTGGATTGAATGAAGCATGGTGTCGGCGTTAATGTCACTTGGTACACCTGAGGCGTTTGGAAAGGATTGGGGGAGCGGTCAGCATAATACCCGTATCATGGTCATGGATGGAATAACAGGAGTAACAAAGATTGAACCGCGACTTTCGACTTGGAGGAATTTAGTCATGAATGTACACAGCAAATCAATACCAGGGGCCTACCCATACACAATATCTCAGGCATTGACAGCACATCTTGTCCTTCTCTTTAATATCCTCAACTTAGTCTATCCCCTTTCTTGCTTCGGTAGGGCTCCGCTGCTTCGTACTTGCTCTTCTCTCGTACTCTCTGTTCGCCGTCGACCGGGGCATGTCCAACGGGTGCAGCATCTTCGCTTATCTCGCTGCTCGGACTGCCCGCGTGATCCAATCCTTTGGAGCTTTGTGATCCAGTAAAGGCATCTGCCTGGTCGATTATTTTGGTCTTCGGCTTCGAGGTAGGAGGTTTTTTATTGAAAGTAATATGTGAATCCTCTAGACGCTGCATACGAGCTTTTCTCTGCTGCTCTGCCTCATATCTAGCAGCTCGGTCGGCGTTGATCGATCTCTTAGCGAAGTAATAGGCGCCTCCACCGGCGACACAGAGCACCCCCCAGCCGATCCTATGAGAGATAGTCTGTTAGCAAGCTTCCATCAATTACTCGTAGTCCAGAGCAATAACCCGGGACACTCAAAGTAGTGAGTACTCCAGCACAGGGCTCAAAGACCATACCAAGTCGACCTTATCTGCGTACAGGATCAGCCATTAGAGTCAAACCGCTCATGTAGAGAATCTACCCACAGTATTCATCTCGACCAGAGTTACGTTTCCATGCCAGAAGCAAGAGTGGAAGGACAGGTGAACGCGAGTTTATTAAAGCTCGCCTGAGAAAAACTCGGGCGGGAACTCGGGGACCAAAGCGCAGAATTGTTCCCCCAAACTGTGCAAGTTAACGAATAATTTTCGCCAACGGCTGCTATGCGTCACCGTTGCTCTCGCAACCTAGCGCCGCCCGTTGATATATTGTTCCGCATCAGGTGGAAATCAAGCCTGCGACCTCGACGCACTCTTAACCCTTGCCTCATCAATCTTTCCCCCTATTTCTCCCCTGACACTTTGCTCTCTGTGTCCCACTGCTTGTCCTTCGTTTGAGAGCCCTTCGCTGTCTGATGACCGAGCCCTCCTCATCGCGCAGTTTGCCATAACTGATCGCGGCTGCGCTCCGCAGACATGTCACTCAAACGAAAAGCCCTTGCAGAAGCTGCTAATGGTCGATCCTCAAAGCGCTCCACGCCTGCTCCTTCGACGCCCGTAAGCCTTGATAGCGACGACGAATACTTTGAAGGATCGGATGCACGCTCTCAAGAACAAAGTGACAGCGAGCAAGAGCACATTCGAAAGGCCAGAGCAAGGTTGGACTTCAGTTCCTTCCAGGGTACAAAGCACAAACACAAGCCCTCCATCTTTGGGGAAAAGGACTTCTCCTGGCTCTCGTTGAAGCCTGATCACGAGAACAGGCCGCTGTGGATAGACCCAAACGTCTCCGTCGGCTCGAAAAAAGGCCCCAAGATCACCCTCGAGAGCTTCTCTCCGTTGTCTGCCCAGGCCACGGATCTGCTTACTACCATCGCAGAACCCCAGTCGAGACCGTCCTATCTCCACGAATATAGATTCACTGAGCATAGTCTCTATGCCGCCCTATCGGTAGGTCTACGTGGTGAAGATATAATACGTGCTCTAGAAAAGCTGTCCAAAACCCCCGTCCCTGACACCGTGATCGATTTCATCAACCGCCACACCAAAACCTATGGAAAAGTGCGGCTTGTTTTGAGGAACAACAAGTTCTTCGTCGAGTCTGATGAGCGCCCCATCATCGACATGCTCCTCAAAGATCCAGTTATCGGGCCTTGCAAAGCCGTCGGGACCGATGTTCAAGTCGGGAGAATTCAGACAAAGGCGACCGTGATCCAAGGAACCAGTAACGCCAAGGGCATGACACAAGCAGGCCAGGGAAATGTGGAAGTGCCCAGGGATGACCCGGCCAAGGAGAACGAAGCAATGATCGCTGCTCTGAGAGACGAAGAAGATGAAGAGGATGCCTATAAGGAAGCTACCAGCTTCGAAATCGCGCCGAACAAACGTGATACAGTGGCGAAGCAATGTCTAGACATCGGCTATCCCGCTATCTCAGAGTACGACTTCGCTAACGACTTTGAAAACCCGACTCTACCCATTGATTTAAAACCCTCCACTCAGATCCGGCCGTATCAGGAAAAGGCGCTCAGCAAAATGTTTGGTAACGGCCGTGGCAAGAGTGGTATTATCGTCCTTCCTTGTGGCGCTGGGAAGACCCTTGTCGGCATCACCGCAGGGTGCCATATCAAGAAAAGCATTGTCGTTCTCTGCACGAGCGCCATGTCAAGTTATCAATGGGCCAATGAATTCAGGAAATGGTCTGACATCAGAGAAGAGGACATCGCGGTATTTTCTGCCACCGAAAAGAAAAGGTTCAACGGAGATGCAGGTGTGCTGGTCACAACCTATTCCATGATTACTGCTGGTGGGAAGCGGGCCCATGACACCCAGCAGATGATGGAATGGGTGTACGGCAAAGAATGGGGATTGATGCTCCTCGACGAGGTGCATGTGGTTCCCGCCAAAATGTTCAGAAAGGTGGGCGAGAACATTCGCTCCCACTGCAAACTTGGTCTTACGGCCACCTTACTTCGGGAGGACGATAAAATCACCGATCTCAACTTCATCATTGGGCCGAAACTGTACGAAGCTAACTGGATGGAATTGGCCGACCAAGGACACATCGCAAAAGTACAGTGCGCTGAAGTGTGGTGCCCGATGTCAATGGAATTCTATCAAGAATACCAGAACGCAAGCACACGGAAGCAGCCCCTCTTCTACATTATGAATCCCGAAAAGTTCCGTGTCTGCCAGTATCTCATCAATTACCATGAGAACCGAGGCGACAAGATCATTGTGTTCAGTGACAATTTGTTTGCGTTGAGACACTACGCCGAGAACATGAAGAGAGCTTTTATCTACGGTGAAACCAGCAACTATGAACGCTTAGAGATTCTGAACAGGTTTCAGCACGACGACCGCCCGGAATTCAGCACCATATTCTTGTCCAAGATTGGTGATACGTCACTTGACTTGCCGGAAGCAACCTGTCTGATTCAAATCTCGTCCCACTATGGGTCCCGACGTCAAGAAGCACAACGGCTCGGACGTATCTTGCGAGCAAAGCGCCGCAATGACGAAGGCTTCAATGCATTCTTCTATTCTCTTGTCTCCAAAGACACAACCGAGATGGCATACAGTGCAAAGAGGCAGGCATTTCTAGTGGACCAAGGCTATGCCTTCAAAACCATCACACACTTGGCTGGCATGGACAAGATGGACAAGCTTATGTACTCTAGGCCCGAGGAGAGAAACGAGTTGCTTGCGAAGGTCTTGCTTCAGAACGAAACGGCCGCCGACATTGAGAAAGTCGACGACAATATGTGGAGTCATCTCAGTGGAGGTGGATCGGCGAAGGCCAAGGCCCAGAAATTGCAGGTTCGCAGGCAAGCTGGCTTGTTGGCAGATGTCAGTGGTGGCGGTACTATGGCCCCTATGTATCGCGAGCAAGAACGAAGGGGCAAGAAGAGCCAGCAGCCCGAAAGCGAGTGGTTCAGAAAAGAGGCCAGGCG